TGAACTGGTAGTATGGGATTCTCTGAAAGGGCCGACATAGGTTCAACATTATTTTGAAATAGATCCTTCTCATGACAAGTAAAAGGATTATTGGGATTTTACTCACCGCTGTTATTTTCGAGCTCAATGTGTGCAAGGTGTCAGGAATGGGGGGAGCTCCTCATTGGTCTCATTTTTCGGGCACAAAGTTCGTCTTTTAGGTGGGAAGAATTTGGTAACTTTACTTGGCAACATGACAACTATCATCGGTGAGATCTACGTTTATACTGCGAAATACGACGGCAATTTGAACCAAAACGTTGTACCGATGAAAGCCGAGGTGAACAGTATAAAATTCGGGCAATATTTGTATTGCGATGTATCTGTCGTGGCGATTAATATATTCTTTAACTCCAAATTATAGCTTCACTCATGAAGAACGGAAGTTTAGGACACAGTTTTACGCAGATCCAATCGTTTGGCCAGCCGTATGAAGGTGCTCTCAGGGCCTCGCTTAGGTCTTCCTGAAATAATTGTCGTGTCATTTTGCAGTCTTTGCACCTTTTTGTGAACATTCCAGGAACGTCTGTGCTGGCTTTGATTCAATAACCTAATTATCAAGTTAGCATCCACGACATCCGGTGTTCCGTTGTTGGATAACTTGTGTTCGCCGCTAAACGTACGTTCCAAAAAAAATCTGAAAATTTCTTAAAATTTCCAGCGAAAACTTCGTACATCGTATAGCATGGTTGTGCGATTACATGCAATGCGGTAAGTCAGATATACCACGGTTAACTCCAGTTAATATGAAAAATGAATACTTTTTCCATATTTGGCCTTTTATGATCTGGCTTCGCACACCTTCAAATGTCCGTTGAGTGGACGATATATTCAACGAATTATTTAGCGACGAGTTCCAATTTCATTGAAATGCGTCAGATGCGTCAGAAAATCGTATGTGAAATACGATTTCACTGGAAACGCATTAGATGGTCCATCGTCAGAATGAGTGATTCCAATTTCTCAATCATCAAAATATCAACCAGTTCAAGAACTAGAATCGGTAAAAAAATTACCGTTCAAGACCACTTTCAAGGTCAAATCTAGGCTCATATAACCGGAAACTCCCTACCACCAAAAAAAAAAGATAACCGATTTAAGGTTTTCAAACAAACGAATATTCACCAGCAAAAGAAGTGGCATCCGTCAAAAAAACTTGACCTTTCAAGACAGCCCTTGAATATTAAATTTAGGCTCGAATGATGAAGAACTCAACATCACCAACAAATTACTGGCCAATTTTAACTTTTCAACCCATCAGAATATCCATCAGCAAAGGAGCAGCTTGTATCAAAATGTTCCGACCTTTCAAGGTCATTCTTTCGGGTAAATTTCAGGCTCGCAGGAGGGAGAAGTTCATGTAGCTAACAATTTACCAGCCAATTTCGGATTTTTAAGCATCAAACCATGGTTAACGCATGAGCTAGAGTCTTCCAAAAATGTTTCTCTGAATACCATCTTTCAAAGTCAAATTGATGCTTAAATGATCGGGCACTTCATATCACCAGAGCAATGCGCGTCGGTCACGCCAGTAAGAAATCAGGATTTTTTGACGGATGCTAGCTCACGCGTTCGCGATTTTTCTGGTACGTACAAATCCGATATCTTCGGGTTAGTTTTTGGTGATAGCGAGTTCCCAATCATTCGAGACTGAATTGATCTTGAGGGGTGATCTTGATTGTTCAGGATTGTTTGCTGGACGCTGTTTTTGAGCTGGCGAATATTCTGTCGTTTTTTTTAGATATAATCCACCGGTAATTTCCTGCCGGTATAAAGTTCCCGACATGACCTTGACCTTCATCATGACCTTTGATCATGACTTTGACCTTGATCAGTGACCTTGAAATACCGAGCGTTTAAACGGGCGCTAGTCCATGCGCTAGTAATTATTCTGATCATTCCTTTTTGTGATATGGAGTTCCCCATCCTGCGAATTTGAATTTTGCATTGAGGGTAACATTGAAGAGCCAAAAGTTTTCGACGGACGCCAGTTCTTGCGCTGTTAATATTGTGGTACTTGAAAAGTTCAAATGGGCCAGCAAATTCTTTGGTGATGTGTGCAACTCCCCGCCAGCTAAACCTGAATTTGACCTCCAAGGGTGACCTTGAGAGGTCAGGATTCTTTGGCGGACACTAGTCCATGCGGTAGTGATTTCTCTGATGCTTAAAAATCGGAAATCGGCCAGTAGCTCTTAAGTGGTATGGGGTTCCCCATTCTTTGAGCGTCATTTTGACCTTGACAGGTGACCTGTAGTTTAAGGACTTTTGACGGACCCTGGTTGTTGCGCTCAAGAATATTCTGGTGTTTGAAAAGTTGAAATCACCCGGTAATTTTTGATGATATCGGCAATGTGAGCCTGAACTTGACCTAGAAGGATGACCTAGTGGTCAGGATTTTTTATGGAGGCTACTTCTTGCGCTGGTAGCTATTCTGCTTGTTCAAAAATTGACTTTGGCGGGTAGTTTCTCGTTTATGGAAGTTCCCTCCATTAAGCTTGAATTTAACCTGAAGGGTGACCATGACATGTCAGGATTTTTTACCAGTGCTGGTTGATACGCCACTGATGATTTTGATACCTCAGAATATTGAACCAGTCGGCATTTTTGGATAATATGGAGTTTCCCGTTTGTTTCAGGCTGAATTTGACCATGAAGGAGGCTTTGAAAGGTAAGGATTTTTCGACGGAGGCTAGTTATTGCGCTGGTAAGCATGCTGATATCTAAAAAGCTGAAATCGCTCGGTAAATGCTCCCCACCATTTAAGCCTGACTTTGACCTTGAAGGGTGACCCCGGGAGGTTAGGGATCCTGACCGATGGACAGGGTTTATTTCATATTATATATAGTTATTATTATATATAATTCAATTAATTCTCTCGCTGATGAATGTTATGATGCTCGAAGAGCTGAAATACACCGATAACTAGTTGGTGATGTGGAGCTGCCCGTGCTTTGAGTCCAAAGTTTACCTTGAAAGGTGATACCGAGTTATCAGGATTTTTGAATGGACGCTGTTCCTTGCTATGGTGAACATTCCTATGCCTAAACATTTGAAATCACATAGAAACGTTTGGGCGGCATGGAATTCACCGCTCTTTGATCTCGAAGGTCACATGATGTTGCAAAATAAACGTCATTTTTTACGTTCTTGCGATATAGTCGCTGCAATAAATCGTCAATTTCACGAACATCAGCTTCAGCCCCATTGCCCGCTTCCTACGGCAGTTTGATGGCCCTCATCCAGCGCCGTTTGTTACATTGTAATATCAAACTTCTCCTTGTCATAACGGGATAAAATATTTGAAAACGGGGCTCACCTATGTGATCTAACGTGTCAAAGGTCACGCTAAATCGATGTGTCACTGCGGCTGCACGACCGAGCGCTAGGGAGATACACAATACCAACTACGGCGCTTTCATATATCAGTTCTGGACATAGAATGGGTCCATGATTTTACCCAGATGACACAGTTTGGAACTCACCTCAATTTAGATGACGCAGTGAAGAATGACCCGGGCAGACGTTATCAGTTCGACACGGAATCTGCTATTGAACAACGGGTACCATGTACCTTTTTTTGTGCACATTACAACACCCGACATCACCCACCTTTTTCAGTAACTTGCATGAAAAAGCATACGACTAATACTGACTGGCTCCAAAATAAAGCCAGTTAGTGACACAACAAACCTTCATAATGACTACGTTTCCGCAACCCATCACGCACCAAAGCATTTACACAAAGCACATGGCTACCTGAACGTTTATCACGTGTTGTGCCTGAACCACGGTCAGCGCAAAACAGACCGCTGACAGACTGTTGTAAGAGCAGACCCGTCAACCTCAAGCGACCCCTTCCCATACGTATCCGAGCCCTTCCTTGTGCATGTAAGCGTGTATCACATGCTGCCGGAAGAATGCCGGCCCGTCTTTGGAACACTCATATCTGTTTCTCCGCCGAGCTGAGATCTTGTTTATCGCCCGATGCAATGTACAGGAAGACTCCAACACAATCGATCACCCGACGAAGTATGCAGTCATGCCATTGGCGTATGTGGGACGGAGCCAGCCCAGATCAGTGATGCACAACATGTGCGGCAAAGTGGACGAGGCAGTCTTACGACAGACGACCGAGATGGAGGAGGCCCTCCCCGACAGCCAAGTGAGACGCGTCGGAAAGCCAAACATTGACACAGATCACAACGATCGAAGGCCAGTGGAGTGGCGGGGTGTGAGGCAGGGAACGGGTCCGGGGGACTGCGGCCCGCCCGAGGCCAGGGGCTGGCGGCGGGGGCTCCTGACCGTTCCAGGGCCGGCCCAGTCTCATCGGCGATCACATCCGGTCTAGCCGGGCCCCGCACCGCCGACGTCAAAATCCAATGTCAGAATTAGCCGGCGTGACGTCAGAATTGGCCTGGGTGACGTCACGGGCCTCGGCCGGCGGCGGGCCTGCCAGGCCGGAGCGCGGCGCCACCTGTCGGCGCACGCGGCTGCTCGGGCGGCGCCGCCGAAACACAGACTGGCTCCGAAGACGGGACCCGCACAGGGCCGACCCGTGTATTGCGGCGACCGCGACACGGCGAGAAGAGCGCGTAGCCAGCCGCCCGAGGCCGCCGCGCCAGCACAGCCCACCCCCGTCCCAGCGCACGTAGCGCTATAAAAAACGGCCCCCCGTGGCGTAGCAAACGTCAGTCACAGGCCGCTAGCCGGCGAATGATCACGTTCGAGAAAATAATTAACAGTGCGATCTTGCAGCCGGCGATATCACTAAGTGACTGGCACAGGGCGCCGCGTGGCAGCGGAGGCGCAGCCCAATAAACGGGCCTTATCGGCGCCAGCCGGTCCCAGACAAAACTGACGGCAGTCTGACCTTACAGGAATACAGTCTCCTGCTGAGACAGAAGCAGACAAACAATCATCACATAAGCAGATGGCGCCAAAAGCGATCACGGGACGTGCGCTCACTTCTTGCGCCAGCCGCCCTTGCGGCCCTCTTGGTACCTTTCGCGCCATTCTTTGCGTTGTTTGTGGTACTTCTCGTGCCACTCCCTGCGTTGTTTCTGGAACTTTTCGCGCCATTCTCGACGTCGCTCGCCGATGCGGTCTCTCAGCTCCTCGCGCCGGTCGTCGTATAATTCCTTCAGGTCCTTGCGGGACGGCATCGGCTGGATGTAACCACGCTCGCTCAGGAACTTGATGGAGTACGTGGTGCCACCTGTCAGAGAAAACTGTAACTAGTACCTGTTGAACGCTGTTTGGCTGGCGTACTTGTAGAACGGCCTGAGAGTGACTCTTCTCTTGCCACGAACACCAGAAGTGGGGGTTTAAATGAGATCAGAAGCGCATACCCCAGATCCCACAATGCCTGTTAAATTTGTTGAGTTGACAGTTGACGGTAACACAAGCAGCACCACTAATAGGTGAGGTTGACCATGAGTTATCTGAAAGGTGACTGAAAAAGTCAGCACGAGCGCAAATCTCGGAATAAGCATCTTTTAATACCTAGTCACTTTCAACCATCTTTTGGCACATACAAATTTTAGTCTGGGGCAGAACTGACGTCCACTTTCTCATCACGCAATGGCGTGGAGAGAAAGCAATGGAAAGCTGGTGGGTCACCCGAACGGCGGGCGGCCGCCAGGCGCCCCCGCCCCGCTCCGGACGGAGAGGGCGGCCTACCGAGGGTGACGGTGTAGCGGGCAGGCGTGGCGATCTTGTAGAGGGCGTACGCGACGGCCAGGTGGCCGGCGGACGAGTGGCGCAGCTTGTCCGTGATGGTCTCGCTGAAGCCCCATGACTCAAGCAGACCCGCCACATCGATACCGCTGCCGGGCAGGGTCATGCTGGGGTCAGACAGGGGTCGGATGGACGGCAGGCGTGGGAGGAACGTGTCTTTGGGAGAGGCTTTTTATACAGCGGCAGAGACCGATCAAACATGAGTGTTTTGTAACGACCAAAAAGTAATGTTAGGACCACCACGCCTATAAGATTATCCCTCCCACATGATAACGGAGCAACTTTACCATTTATCAGATCTCTGGTTTATGGGGGAGCGCCATCCGCGCCCTCCGACGCAGCACCTGTCACATCACAAAAGCGGAGACGCTTTCGGTGACGACGCCCGGATTATCAGAGCACGGGTGATGGTAACATCAGGCGCCCTCTCACCTCTTTGATGCGTAGTAGAAGCTGCCGTACCACACCGCCGACGTCACCAGATGCACGGGCACCAGCACATACCAGTAGTCCTTGTACATCTGCTTGAACCGTTTGAATATGCTCGGCTTCTCCTCCTTATCGTCTTCTTTGACGGGCACGCTGCCGGTTTTGCGAAGCCATCCACTGGCAGTTGTGACGAACGGCCGCTGCGAGGCGCTGGCGATGCTCCACACTTCCTCGCGCCGGCGCACAAGCGCGCTGCAGGCCGGTGCGTGATGCAAGAGCCATCTTGCGGCAGCGAAACTAACTACTGATCTACTAGGCTGCCGCTGTACTGCGCCGGTGTCGCACGCAGCCAGCGGCAATGCGCTGTTTGCAGTTGTCAACCGCCAGAGGCAGGCGCGAGAAGAGTTTTTCCCTAAAAACGGAGTAATCGTTTCACTCATGGGCTCCACAAGGGGCAGCACAGGAAGCTGCCGCATATCAGAGCAAGTTGACCACGGCCAACGAAGCGCGGCCCGCTCCGAAATGGTCACATTTCTGGTCGTCCAGTTCAATCAGCGCCGCAAAATGTATCCATTGCGCGTCGACATCACGACAAAATACATCTGACGATAAAAACAAGGACAAGGTTTGCAATCTAATAAAACTGGTTTCAACAGAGTACGAGCGTTTGCGCAGCATAATTGCGCTTAGGAACACCAGCCCCTGCCGATTCCTACAGAAACCACATCCACCAGAAAAATGGTTTCTACGCTGCCAGAGGACTGCATCAATTCAGTGGGTAGCATGCCGCGAGCGCGAGAGGGATCCTAGTTGAATGTGCAATACATAATTTCACGAACAAAATGGCTTTTGTTGAATCTGGAAAGAAAACGAATGAAAATAAGAAGTTATCAAGCTGTCTTGTCGAAGGTACAAGCCACTATTTCACGACCAAAATGATTTGAATTGAATTTGGAAAGAGACCGAATGAAACTATGAATTTATCAAGCCATGCTCATTTTACAACAAACCCTAAGAATATGAACAGCATCGAGTGACGGATAGCATAAAAGCACATCAAAGTCTTGCGGCCATCGGCCATCACGCAATATATATATATATATATATATATATATATATATATATATATATATATATATATATATATATATATATACGTAGGCGACGAAGAACGCCGATCGTCATTCTAAAAAATTAGTGACGCTTACTCATTCCGTATCGACTTTTCACGAATGTCGCCTTACTCGATTAATGATTGGAGGGTCATGTGGTATATATATATATATATATATATATATATATATATATATATATATATATATATATATGTATAAGAGTTATGTTACCCGTCCGATGTACGGCTGACCCTGTCGCACGCTCAGCGGTGTCGCATGTCACGTGAAGACACGCTGGTTGAAGTCACTGGTAACACTGACACGCGCTGTGCCAGAGTTGACCGTAAAAGCCTCGAAAACCGTCCGACCAGCGCCACGTACCGTGCAATGTGACTGGTCTGCAGGTGGCTAAGCTCCAGACGGCCCTCAGGACTGTCCGCGCAGGCGTGCCGCCGCCAGCCAGGCCGGCCATGGGAGGGCTCAGTGCCGGCCGTCCAGTGAACACTGGCGGGCGCGTCCCCGGCCACCCGCTGACGACAGAGAGACAGACGTCACCCGCTGGCGACCGAGAAACGGACGTCAGCCGCTGACGACCAAGAAACGGACGTCACCCGCCGACGACACAGAAATGGGCGTCACCCGCCGACGACAAAGAAACGGACGTCACCCCTGATGATAAACGAACGTCACCCGCTGACGACAGAAGAACGGATATCATCCACTGACGACAGAGAAACGGACGTCGGCCGCTGACCAGAGAAAAGGACGTCACCCACTGGCGACAGAGAAACAACGGACGTCACCCACTGACGACAGAGAAACACACGTCATCCGTCGACGACAGAGAAACGGACGTCATCCGCTGATGGAAGAGAAACGAACATCATCCGCGGACAACAGAGAAAAAGACATTATCCGTTGACAGAGAAACAGACGTCAACCGCTGACGACAGAGAAACGGACATCCGCTGAAAACCGAAATAAATACCCGCGACGACATGTCAGACGTCACTCACTGACCACAGACAAACGAATGTCGCCCACTGACAGCAGATAAACAGACGTCATCCACTGATGGCAGATGGACAAACGTCACCTGCTGACAACATTGCAACAGAAGTCACTCGCTGACATTCCGGACACCATCCACCAACGAAATAGCACACGTCAATCACCGAAACCATGCCAGACGCCACAGGCTAACAGAAGACACACAGCTGTCAACCACAAACGACAGAGAAACACACCGCACGTCACCCGCTTACAACAGAGATGCGGATGTCAAAAACTGACAGCAGAGTAACACCACCCACTGGTGGCAGAGAAACGGCTCAGGCGTAGCCCAAGGCTGAAAAGGTGGCGTTCGCATATGATATCGCGACATCCAGCTGTAGCTCAAAATTCTGGTTGGAGCAAATTCATGAATGCAGTCGAGTCCGTCGCACACATGCCCCGTTAATGAATAATACTAATTAGTACACATCACCGAAACTGTCGGCGATTTTTTTCTGTGAAGCCTGGCGTAGTACAGACGAAGTTACCTGACAAGCATCTTTGACGCCAATTGTATCGGTACGATGTTGGAGTAGCAGTACTGTGTATCTGGCCTGTTGTTATCCTCTGTCGCTGGGCAGTGTCGTGCCACAGCCAGCCTGTGGCCCGGTATGACTTGACCCAGTGAGTGCCCACCGACGCCGATCAACACCATCACGTGAACTGCTCATACGAAAGCAGAGCACTCGTTCGCCAGCTGACTGGCCCAAAATGCTATTATCCATATGCACCTGCACACATCGTGGCAAGCATCGCGTATCCTCGGAAGAGACCGATCGGGTTGGAAGGGAGCACCCCAATCAAACACGACCCCACGTCCGATCCCATTCCACGCGCGGACAAAGCCTAGAATGAGGTATGGAACGGACGGGCCCAGCCGCCAGTGGTCTGGTGATGACTGAGAGCTCGAGGAACGCGCTATGGCGACTTGCCGTCGAACACAGGTCAAAGGCGGTTGACGACCATGCAGGAGTGCTCAGCCAACTCACCACGTGTGCTGATCTCAAGACTCGTCTTCAGCTGGCCTTTCGCTTCAATTCCTTGCGGCCGCGTATCACGTGTTAAGCCAGATCGCATGCCGCTATGCCTAAATGCATCCACTGCGTGCAGAAGGCATTCTAGCATTACGACAAAACACGAGAACGCATATTTTTCCTGAGCACTATTTCATAATTTCATCTCATAAAAACTAACGCAGCCATTTACTTCCAGCTGCGTCGTGATTCACACGTAACAGAAAGATTTCAATCGTCTTTTTTTGCAATACATTACTACATTGTATGATGCAGAATTCCTATCAACGACGGGATAAGACTAAATTGTCATCATATTCAGCGTGCGCCGACACTTCGAGTATTTCGATCACCCGGCACGATGCAAATGTCTGGTTCGGGGCGATGTGTATTGGCTTCACTCCACATAATCACGAAATGCCGTCTGGTTTCATTTTCGATACGATCACGTCGGGGAAATTCAGACACGGGATAGAGGTCCATGGTTTACTTGGACAGGCAATGACAGCCCTAACAAGCCAGCTGAATGCGAGGATAGGTGAGTGGAAGGAAATCCCATCACTGTTCACAGGCCCATAATCCAGATCGCACAATGTCCGAACTTTTAGCGTCAGGTGGAGTGATAATCGACGTTTACAAGTTCAAGAGAGGCAGAGGGTCTCACGAGAAAGGGAGGAACGCAGCAAAGGAATACACGGGCTACATGGATAAGCGCGTGTCGCTCACCAAATGAAAAAGCGTCGAAACAATGATCATACTCGCCATCCAAAATGGCGCAGCTCACTTGCAGGCTGGCGTTTGAAGTCGTGACATTTCGAGAACGCAGATGACATGGTAACACCCATACTCCGCACGGCCGGCATGGCCCTAGCTAAAAGACCACCCAAAGTGGACAGAACTCTTCTTGAGTGACTGCCAACACCGCTTCCTGTGAGGTGAGTCTGCCGAACCAAATCCCCGTCGCAGTCAGCCTGACCGACCGAGCGGCATTTGCCCGCCGGCCGCACCGGACACCAGCGACGGCAACAGGCAGCTGACAGTCGCCGTCGCCAGGCGCCGGCGGTCGGGCCGGTCGGGCCGGCCGGGCCGTCACGCGCCCGCCCGAACGCCACTCCCCTGGCACCGGAGCACGAGCCGCTCAGAAGTCGCGCCGGTGGTAGCGGTCCGGGTCGACGTACGACGTGACGACGACGCGGCTGGCGAACTTGCGGCCTGTCAGCTGCTGCTGCGCCTTCTGGCAGTCCATCACCGAGTTGAACTCAACAAACACCTTGCCGAGGCCGGGCACCTCGACGCCGTCGATGGGCCGCGGGATCTCGATGCTCTTGACGACGCCGTACTTGTTGCACTCCATCTTGATGTCCTCGACGATGTCCTCGTACTCCTCATCGTCGCGCAGCTCGTCGGGCGTGACCATGTTGAGCAGGCAGAGCACCTCAGTGGCGGGCCCGGCGCCGCCGGTCAGCTGCAGACCCGGCACCTGGATCTGCACCGGTGCCATCATGCCAGAGCCCTTGTTGCCGATGTTGGCGCGCTGCACGATCAACTTCTTGTCACCCAGCTGCATGCCGTTCAGGCCCTGGATCGCCTGCTCCGTCAGCGAGAGGTCGGCGTACTCGCAGAAGGCGAAGCCCTTGCTGAGGCCCGTGCCAGAGTCCTTGACGAGGTTGAAGCCGCGCAGCTGGCCGAACGACATAAGCAGCTCCTTCACCTGGTCCTCGGTCAGGTACGTGGGCAGGCCGCCGACGAAGATCTTGTTGGGCGAGTCGGGCACGACGGTGGAGATGACGCCCACGACGCCCGGCACAGAAGACGCTGGTCCGTCGGTGATGCCCGGCATCGGCTGGTAGTCGTGCGGCCGCCGAATCTTCAGGCTCTGCCCCTTCAGGTTGATACCGTCAAACGCCACCGCCTGCGTGCACTCGTCGATGGAGCGGAACTCGAGGAAGGCGAAGTTCTTATCCAAGTTGATCTGGCAGGCGAGCACCGGGCTGCCGGCCGCCTGCGCCAGCCCGCTCAGGTGCATCTGCTGATTGAAGAACTCCATCATCTCCTCCTCGGTGACGCCGAACGGGATGTTGCCGACGTAGAGGCGGCGCGCCTGCCGCGTCACCGTCGAGCCCGTCACGCTGCTGTTGAGCGAGTCCGGGATGGGGTTGGTGGGGATCTGACCGGCAGCCTGCATGGCCTTGTACTGCACCGGCGAGATGTGCTCGAACCCTGGCGGCGGCACGTCCCAGTACTTGCTCGGCGTCTTCCGCGTCAGCTTGATCACGCCGCTGCGCGAGTCGCCGCGCGGCGAGCGGTCCCGCTTGCTGTCCCGCCTGTCGCGCGAGCGCGAGCGGCGCCGGCGGTCCCTGTCGCGCGAGCGCGAGCGGCGCCGGTCGCGGTCACGGTCGCGGTCGCGGTCGCGGTCGCGGTCACGGCTTCGGTCGTCGCCGACCATGGTGCGCAGCTGCTGACCTGAGACCTAGGCTGAAAGGCGGTGGCGGAGACGGCGGCGCGGTGGCGGCTTGTCCGGCTCCTGGCTCGCGCTGAAACTGCCGTGGGGTCCGCGGCCTGTGGCTGCTGCTCCTAGAGGACAAATTGAGACCACTTTGCAATGCATACAATGCTTTGTGCACTCATGCGCTGGGGCACGCCACGAACAGACAAGTCAAATCGAGCACAGGAGACCCCAAGAAGAATACTGAACTGTTGTGTCATGTGTAGTTCACAGCCATTCATGGATGCCCCTGCAGGTATATTTTTATTCAACTAGGAAATGGAGACAGGATCAGGATATTGGAAAAAAGGAACAGCAAACTCATGCCTTGTGCACTTCCAAAGTATTAAGGCCTACATACCTTGAATGGTGGCAAGGAAGCTATTCTTCAAAAGATCCAAATACATCTTAGGCAACTATGCATTTATCAACACCCATAGCATGTAGCAATTAGACAAAAGCAGCTTAAAAATTCCTTGCCGTAACATGACAGGTATCCCAACCTAGCACATAAAAGGCAGTGGCTTGTGAGTGGCCCAACAGAGGCTTCATCTTAATGTGGGGTTTCAGCTGGGAAAGCCATATTGTCAAATAGAAAGAAATTGTCATCACCAAGATCCTATTGAGACCTCAAATCCTTGACTTCCTGAGCTTGGATCCAACTGTTCATTAGCTTGAGTCAAACCACACTTTTATGATTGGTGCATGCCCAGGAATAACAGATTAAACTGCCAATAGTACAGCAACCAGCCCTGCCTACCTCTTCTTCAATGTGATGCAATGCTCAGTCCAAAGCAACACACTTAATACTTTCTATCATATCATCATGCTTCAAGCCCTTTGAAAAATGGCATCATCCCATCTAGCACATTCTGTTCTCTCATATTTAGCATCTGATAGCATTTGTAAGCAAAAATATATTTGATTAAAGGAAACATGTGTCAATAACCAAAAGTCACAACAAGGAAAACATATAACTTATGTGAGGAAAGAAACACACTTTCCACAGGCATGACACACATAAATACAAACATATTAATGTAAATACTGACTGTTCATAATATGTGTAAGGCATGCTAAGGGCATACACAAAGGCAACTATCTCCATTTTCAGAAAATAAAAACCAAAGCTTTCTCTTTTATAAGGGTTATCTGTAACAAATAAACTGATATCATTTTTGCATCATGTGGTAGGATGCACATGAGAGTAGAAAATGTCCTTCGAACCGATACCAAAACCACAAGTAACATTATACTGCAGGCCCACATAAAAGCTTTCTTTGCCCTACATACCAATCACTGCTTTTAACTGAAAGTAACTGCCAAGCACACAATTACTTTTACAACAAACCAACATTTTGAATTGTGAAATTGCTGAGAGATAGTGTTGGCTCAGGATCACAAATCCATAATAATGTTTAATGATAAGTGAATGACACAAATTGTTACCAATATGCTTGTCAGCAGGTAGAAATAATTCAGGTTTTTCAACGAAATGGAATGCAATAGGGTGGTCACGCACACTCTTGTGCACATGACTGCCCTCCACAGAGATCACATGGGAATAAATTAGGTTATCTGCAGGCATAAAAAATGCAGAGGCACTGCTTCGACCATTTCTTATTTATGTACCCGGGTTTGCTTGCCATGTGAAAGCATGGTTGTCCTTGCAAATGTTTCAAGAAAAATCTCTCAATCCTTGTCCTCCAATGCTGCAACCAGTGGACAAGTTTGAAAGTGAAAACTTCTTTTTCTCAAAAACCTGTAAATAATGATGAAGATGAGCTCAAGCCAAATCAAATCAAAAGTGCTTCAGCATTTTGTGCATGTGTGTGCAAAATGTCCAGTAACAAATTAATTTGTCAACAATGTTGTTACCAGGATGCTTCACCATTTTACTGTTTCACGACTACACCAAGAGGCGCATCCTCAGATTATGAAAATTTAAGATGATAGGTAGAAATCACACTTATTGTGATAACTTTGGCATGTATTTTTGCA